CTTTGTGTATTCATTATTGTGCTTTTTAATATTATTTTCTTTGGATAGATTCCTAGAAGTATTAAGTTTCAAAGTGAATGGCGATGTTCAAAGTTGTCCTTATGCACAGCTAAAATACTTCCCAGAAAGTCTGATCAATCTAACACTTGTGAGATTGTGAAGCTTACTTCAACCTTCTGACCATTAGCATTAGATTTTCTGTTTTTTTCTTTTTTCTCATTTGATATGTGGGAACTCTTATAATCTGTTTTTGATTAACTATTTTTGTCAGTTTTTTTGGTGCATGTTTACATCTCCCATTTTAAAATGATCTGTTTATGTTCTATGCCTATTAAGTATATGTTTGTCTGCTTGTTTAGAAAAGAGCTTTTAAAACTATTTTAATGGTAGATAAGACAGAACCTAATTTCATGTTTGTAATGCTTACTATGAAAATAGTTTCTTCAGTGTATCATTTCTTTTTATTTATCTCATTGAATATCTTCATGTTTGTTAATACATGTCATCTGCCTAGAATCCCAAAGTTTGCTAAAACTGAGGGAAAGTAACTGATAGAATCTGTTTCTATTTATTTTTAGTAATAACCTCTTTTTATAATGTTTTTAATTTAGGGTTTAGAGAGGTCATTTTTCATTGTTGTAAAATGTGAAAAACTGCTTATTTTTATTTGTATTTTTTCATACATGGCTTCATATTTGAGTAGGTGGTGTTATGTAACTGAAAAATATAATATTTTAAGCAATATTAATATTTGGTTAAAATAAGATTTCTCAATAATACAACATTGATGCTTCCTTTTTGTACAATGCAACTTCTTTTTGTGAGATGGTTCCTTGAGATCTGAATTAGATGTTGGTTTTTGCTTGGATTCTTCTATGGCTTTATACTATTTTTGATATTTTCCCCCAGGATGGCAGGGAGGTTTTTCACTACCGCAATATTTCTATAGACAGTCCGTCCTTTTCCCATGGCGGGGGTGGGGGCCGCAATAGTGAAATAATGGTAATACGTTACCTAGAGTATATTTTTAGAGCTGTGAAAAGGCTTGGAGGTTTAACCCACAGAGGACATTGGATTGAGGCAGAGGAGTGAGAATGAAAGACAAGCAGTAAATGTAGAACCAGTTGAGTGCATGGGGAGTTTCAAGGGCTAAATACTAGCCAACAATGTTGAGTGATAGTGAGTTTTTAAAAAAGGGCCTGTGTTTCCAACATGCTTCTACTCACTATTATGTTCAACAGTTGCTGTGAGGTTTTTTTCCCCCTTTTTTCTTTCTCCTCTCTCTGCTGCTTAGGTGGCAGTGCATCTGGTGTTTTCCAGTGTGGGTGCCGGGACAGGTTTTGATTTGAATATAGAATCTAATCCAGATTGCTGGTTTGTTATAGTACCTCTCTGTCTCTTATTTTCATGGTTAGTGCCCAACATTCAGTGATAATTTGTTGCTTCTGCTGAAATGAGGGCAAGTGCTATTACAGAGGGACAATCAATGGAAGAGAACTGTTTGGTACCAATTACATACTGTTACTGTTTATTGAACATCTACTGTGTACTTGGGTAAGTGCCACTTCTTGGCAAAGGGGATAAGTCATCAATGAAACATGAGATGTCACCTGCACACTTTCTTAAGCACTCCCATAATCAGCTTGACTTCTGTTAATTTTCTTTTTAATCTATTAATTTTTTTATAGAGGCTTTTCTCAACTAGAGGAATGTTTTGAATACTATGGATTCTTGTGTGCTAGATGGTTCAGAGGAGAAAGATGCAATGTGTTTTTTTTCATGTATGTTCATTGGCTTACTCATTTATTCATTTACTATGAATTTATTAAATATTTTCAGGGAGTGCTCAACGTATTTTATATATGCTAGGCTCTCTGGGGATAGAAAATATGTACTAAATTAATTAAAATATATTAATAAAATATTACTGTGGTGTACAAAAGCCATATTCACAAAACAATACACTATTTTTTGTAATCCTTCTGAACTTGTTTAATTTAGGTCTGCAGTGTTTGCTTGTGTCTAGTGTAAATATAAGCACATGGAAAAATATTTTAATATTAATTTTAGAAAATAATTTTTAGAAAATAATGTAAAAATATATAAACTATATTATGTATTATAAACTATAAAGATTAGTTATAGGAACAATAACATTTAAAAAAATTAATCATCACGGTTTGGCAGTTTGGTTACAATTTTAGAAGAGGTAATTTTATAGTTAAATTTGGTAGTGATGTATTATATATGCAATAACTTGAAGTCCTGAATAGCCTCTTAAAAGGTGATACTTTTTAGATAATCAAATGTAGTATTGGTAAAGCAAGCTTGTTTTGTAATGATCCAGTATTCACCCAACAAATGCCTGTGGAACACCATTTGTCAGGCGCTGTTCATGGTCCTGAGGGATGGCCCCAATTAGATAATGTGACCATGATATATGCTCTTTGATGCTGTGAAAGGAAATTGTACCCTGAAACATTTGGAATCTCCAATGTTTGGGAAGCTTGACATGTTACTTACACTTTGCAATATACTTATTAAGGCTTCTCACTTATGCTTAGTATTCTTTCTATAATGGCTTCTCTTGCTTGAGTGTTTTTATTTATTTTATTTTATTTATTTATTTTTACAAGAGAACCAAACACTTGGTTTTCTATTCTTTTTTTTTCCTTTAAATTTTTATTTTGTCAATATACAATGTGGTTGATTATTATGACCCATCATCGAAACCTTCCTCCCTCCTTCCTCTCCCCCCGCCCACCCAACAATGTCCTTTCCGTTTGCTTGTTGTAACAACTTCAAAGGATTGTAGTTGTTATATCTTCTCCCCCCCCGTTATTTTGTGTGTGTGTGAGTGAATTTATTTATTTTTAGCTCCCACCAATAAGTGAGAACATGTGGTATTTCTTTTTCTCTGCCTGACTCGTTTCACTTAATATTATTCTCTCAAGGTCCATCCATGTTGTTGCAAATGGCAGTATTTCATTCGTTTTTATAGCTGAGTAGTATTCCATTGTGTAGATATACCACATTTTCCGTATCCACTCATCCGATGATGGACATTTGGGCTGATTCCAGCTCTTGGCTATTGTGAAGAGTGCTGCAATGAACATTGGGAAACAAGTATACCTTCGACTTGATGATTTCCATTCCTTTGGATATATTCCCAGCAGTGAAATAGCTGGGTCATATGGTAGATCAATCTGCAACTGTTTGAGGAACCTCCAAACCATTTTCCATAGGGGTTGCACCATTATGCATTCCCACCAACAATGTAAGAGAGTTCCTTTTTCTCCGCAACCACACCAGCATTTATCGTTCAGCGTCTTTTGGATTTTAGCCATCCTAACTGGGGTGAGATGGTATCTCAGTGTGGTTTTGATTTGCATTTCCCGGATGCTGAGTGATGTTGAGCATTTTTTCATATGACTGTTGGCCATTTGCATATCTTCTTTAGAGAAATGCCTACTTAGCTCTTTTGCCCATTTTTTAATTGGGTTGCTTGTTTTTTCCTTGTAAAGTTGTTTGAGTTCCTTATATATTCTGGATATTAGTCCTTTGTCAGATATGTATTTTGCAAATATTTTCTCCCACTCTGTTGGCTGTCTTTTAGCTCTGTTAATTGTTTCTTTTGCTGTGCAGAAACTTTTCAGTTTGATATAGTCCCATTTGTTTATTTTTCCTTTGGTTGCCCATGCTTTTGGGGTCATATTCATGAAGTCTGTGCCCAGCCCTATTTGCTGAAGGGTTTCTCCTATATTTTCTTTAATAAGTTTTATTGTTTCAGGGTGTATATTTAAATCCTTAATCCATTTTGAGTTGATTTTAGTAAATGGTGAGAGATGTGGGTCTAGTTTCAATCTCCTGCAAATGGATAACCAGTTATCCCAGCACCCTTTGCTGAAGAGGGAGTCCCGACCCCAGTGAATAGACTTAATGCCTTTGTCGAAGATCAAATGGCAGTAAGTGCGTGGGTTGATTTCAGGGTGCTCTATTCTATTCCATTGATCAGAGTCTCTGTTATTATACCATGGGTCTAGTTTCATTCTCCTGCATATGGATATCCAGTTCTCCCAGCACCACTTGCTGAAGAGGCAGTCCCTACCCCAGTGAATAGGCTTGGTGCCTTTGTCAAAGATCAGATGGCAGTAAGTGTGTGGGTTGATTTCTGGATTCTCTATTCTATTCCATTGATCAGTATGTCTGTTTTTATGCCAGTGGCATACTGTTTTGTTTATTATAGCTTTGTAGTATAGCTTAAAGTCGGGTAATGTTATGCCTCCAGCTGTATTTTTTTTGCTCAGCATCGTTTTGGCTATGCGTGGCCTTTTATTATTACTTCCCAATATCTAATGTAAGTGTCCTGGATCACTGTGTTGTTTTTGGCGTTAATTTACCAATTCTTGCAAAAATAATGGCAGTTACAAATTTTGAGTCGGTGTAAGTAGAACTATATAATAATTAAATTCGCCCAAAAGGGAATGGACTCCTTTACAGAGTCATATGTTTTCTTTAATTGAGGAAGATGATGCCATTGCTAAGATATAATTCAGGGGAGTCATTTATGGAGTTGTACTATTCGAATAAAATCCAGTCTGGTTCTGTGATCCAATAATTCTTTAAGTTGGTCAACCTTTTTTTAGGTAAGTTTATTGTATTTAACTAAAGTCCAACAAAATGGCTTACCTGCTTCTAAGAAATAAACAAAAACAATTTTGTCCTCATATCTTGGAGTGAAATTTCTAAGTTTGCTGAGGTTAAACCCACTTAATGAAATGCAAACACGTTTTCAGTTACTAATTAGGTGAAGTGACGAAGTCAGAAAACTTTAATTTCAATATCCTATATCTTGGGAAGATAAGTGTAGTAAGCACTGCTAATTAGTTTTAAAGATTTTTTTTTTATCCCTAATATGTATGTGTATATTGGGCAGCCTTTATTCCTAATGGTCAGAAGTTGATTGTACATATTCGTTGAGATAGCAGAGTCATAGAGGAATGACTGATATGCTCCAGAATGCAGAAGATTCTCCAGGGGGAGAGAGTGGAGGTGAAGTGAAGGTAAGCAGTGCCCATTCCTTGTCTCCATGATTTAGCAGGGCTGGGATGAGGTCCAAAAACAGGCCTTCTTAACAAGCCCAGGCCATTTTGATGTTGGTGATCCAGAGATTACTAAGGTATAGATAGTATAGAACAAATACTCGATCCTAGAGCAGGAAGAAATCTTCAAGATCACTTAATGTGAATGTCTCATTTTACAGATACATATGCTGTGTCTAATAGAGGTAAAATGCCTCAATAATTTATACAACGTAGCCTAGGTGGTTAGTGCTAGAACTATGGGTTTTTCAACTATTTCAAAATCTTTCAAGTGCTTCACTTGAAACTTTCATGTTTAGCTATATTTGAATATAGATGTGTGTTACTTGGTAAATGTAGTTAAATGTAAATGATGAAACCTTTTCTGGACATTTTATGAAAAGGAGTGGGGAATTTCAGTCTTGTAAAAATCTTTATTGCTGTTGAACTAACTCATGGAGACAGTCTTGGGTTTCCATAACAGTTTGCTTTGTTGTGTTTTTCCTTTTCTCTTTAAGAGCAGGGTAAGTGGAAGTACTCCTGAAAGCTCTTTCCTACATTTGGACTTGATTCAAAGATTTACTGGTGTTGTGTAGTGGATGCGAAAATCTATCAGAGTGTGTCAACAAAAGTTAGTACGAAAAATAGAAAAATAAAAATAGGCATTAGCTGTCAGTAGGAAGAGATGACTGACTTCCTCTAACCTGTGAGGATGGTGGTCCTTCTTTCTGTCTCACCAAGAGAGGATTAAAGGAAGGATATCGATCCTAATTGTCCAGTTAGAAAGCAAGATTTACCTTGGATAAGCACCAGTTTGGATTATCAGTGGATAATCAAGAACTGATAGTAAAATGCATTATAATTGTAGAATTTCCTTTAGTCACTAACATTTTTACTTTGCTTTAAATGTGCTTATGAATGATTTCCCCCTTTTCCCTCGTAAGTCCATAAACAGTAACTGTATTTGTCAGTTTTATCCATCATAGTGTTCATTTTTCTCCACTTGTTTTTGAGTTATATTTTCTTTTTCTTTTTTTAGTCTGAGCATGTGCAGTATGTTACATTTGAAACCTATTCAATATTTAAAGTGGGCAGTTTTGAAATCCACGGACTAATTAAATGTGCTCAATTTTTAATCAATTTAATTTTCTGTACTTTTATTTTTAGATCAGTCCAAACATTGGAACAGTTCCATAGTTAAACAAGGTTTACTCTACTTTGACTTAAAAATAGGAGTCACACACGGGCTTATGGTTTTATTCACATTTCTCAGCTTCAAGTAAAAAATGTTTAACTGTTAAATTATTAATTAAAATACTAGTTTTTATCTCTATGGCTTTTTTTATAAGATATACTAAGCAAAGAAATTTGAAGTCACCTAATGTTTTAAATTACTGCATTAGAAAGGTGCTTTATGCACTTCATTAGCTTATAGAAAAATTGAAATGCTGCAATAATTGTAAATTACAGTATGTAATACATGTTCAAATCTCTTTCTATACTAAGTACTCTTAACAAATCGAAACACTTTAGCAACATTAAATCACTGATTGTGTATATATTACCAGTAACTTCAATTTTTTTATTATGAGATTTTTACTTTCTATAGTAATAACCACATCTCATTTTTAAAAAATGTTATTACCATTCCATTTTCTGTTTACCTTCAGCAAATTTAGAAAGGCTATAGTCTAAAAAAGTTCAGACAATCTAAGATGTTGTAATTAGAGTTTTGTTATTTCTATTCAAGTATAAAGATCTGAAAAGTGTCCTTTTTCATCGGGTTCTACGTAGTGATCCTGAACATTTTCAGTGTTTTGTGATATGTGAATGTCTTTTGTCATCTACAATCATGTTTTTACTCATGAGCCTGGGCTATTGGAACTGAACTGTGCTGCTTTGCTGCAGGTCAGCTTTCATGGACGATTAGTGTTGTAACAGGGCTTTGGTCACAAGTTGTCTTAAGTGTTTACCGTAAAGACATCATCCTGTGGTTGAGCAGCAGTGTTCTGTTGGCTTTATCTCTGGTGAAGCATTTCATGTTAGCCTTTTCCTTCAGATCAGTCAAGCAACCGCTCCTTGTTCCGTTCCTGGCATCGTTTTTTGTAAGAAGCCCTAGGCCCTTCAGATTTAGTGGTTATTTTGTTCTCTTTTTGCTCATCTTGTTTGCTCTTGTCCCCTCTCAGTAACTGTCAAAGGCCCACATTGGTTTATTCTTCTGACAAGAATGAAAAGAACTATCTTCCTGCTGTTTGGCTCTGTGTCAGTATTGACAAGTTGTACGTGTTTGATACTCCATGAGGTGACTGGTTCCAGCAATATGCAGAAGTAAACCAATAAATCTTCAGTGTCACTCCACTCATTTCTACTTGATTGCTTTTTTTACTCTAAATATCAGCATGGAAACAAACACTTCTAAACAAGGCTTTCCCCCAAATCTGCACAATTATGCCAGCACTTGAAAAGGTAGACTATAGTACCTTGGTTAGCCCCTAGGACTGTAAGGGGTACATAAGAAACTTCTGTCATTTTAATTTTAATATATTTCAGTTCTGTTTTATCATCCTTTGTCTTTTTTTTTAGAAAGTTGTTTCTATAATGTAACCATACAAACAGTTTTTAAAACTAAAAACCATCAGTTTTTAATAAAAAAGAATATCTTTATTATGATAGTTTTCTTCTCCATAGGTACTTAATCTTTTATGGATGTTTTTAGTTTAAAAAGAGACTGTAATTCATTACCTTTAAAGATGATATTTTTAGACCCCAGGAATTAAACTGTCTTCATTTGGCCCATGAGTGTGGATTTTTGCCTATTTTTAAATTTATGTTTACTATTTTGGGTTTTCAACTTCTTTTTTTTTTTTTTTTTTGGAGAGAATAAAATTCCACACACATAGTTATGTGTCTATGTTGTACACATATATATTTTTGCCCTTATAGTATTCCTTCCAAGTAAGTTTTCTTTATTTAAAATCAGTACTTCCTTGGTAGACAGAGATTTCAGTTGTGAAAAACCCTGGACTAAATGGATTCAATTTTTTAAATTTTTTTTTTCTTTTTTGGGTTTTCAACTTTTTTTTTTTTTTTTTTTTGGAGAGAATAAAATTCCACACACATAGTTATGTGTCTGTGTTGTACACATATATATTTTTGCCCTTATAGTATTCCTTCCAAGTAAGTTTTCTTTATTTAAAATCAGTACTTCCTTGGTAGACAGAGATTTCAGTTGTGAAAAACCCTGGACTAAATGGATTCAAGGAAAACTTGGCTTTGAATATCTCAGGATGACATGTACAACACAAGGCTGGCATTTAGTTTTGCTGTTTCTTTTAGTTCAGAACTCTCAGTGAAATTACTCATCTCAATATTATTATTATTATTATTATTATTATTATTTGTTAACTTCTAAGATACCAAATATCCATTTTCTTTATAGCATAGGAATTTCTTCTTCTTTCTGTCTGATGTAAATTTATGGGTTGTATCTTTTAGTTGCCAAATATTTAATATTTTTGGAAGTGAGGATCGAATATATTGTCGTTCATATTGGCTAGGTACAGTGATGGAATGTTTGTTGATATGAAATGAATATTTTTCTTTAGCAACTGGAAAGATATTTTCCTTTAGTCCTTTTGGTAAATTTTTAAAACAACAATATTGAAGGAAAATAGTATAGATTTTTTTAAGTCATCTGGTTTTCTTGTGATGCAACAGCCTTTAATTTAAGTTGGTATTTGTGTTCGATGCCCTGATTTGAAATTTCAAGCTTTATTTTGTGTGATATGTATAGAATATTTTCTAAGACCTAGAATATTTTTGTTCCATACTTTACTAGGCAAATGTAATCAAGATTGGCAAGCGGGCCTCATTTTAGACTAGTAAATACACTAACAAAATGGATATGTGCTAAAGAAGGAGATAATTCATTTCAGTTGTGAGAACTGTAAGCCGTGATAAATGATTTTCCTTTACAAAATTCCCATCTCTGAGACAGTATTAGTTTTTACTTTAATTACCGTCTGCTGTAATGTTTCCTATCCATAACTGTCTACAGAATAGACTGTTTCCGAGCAGAGGGTATGGCCTGTTTACTCAACCGTTGAGAAGAATGCCCAAGTTCTACCAAGTCTGAACTGCCGCACAGGAGAGTGTCCTTCATTTAAATATTTAAATATTAATGTTTAATTGTATAGGCAGAAAACTTCAATGTCATTTTAAGGATATGCAACTTTACAAGAGAGTCTTTGTCCATTATCAACTTTAGAGCCTTGTCTTGAATCTTAACATCCTTAGGAGGGATGCAGCCTGGTGGCCATATTGAAAAGTTTGAGTGTATTCATCTTCTTATTTTCTTTTTCCCCACATTTTAAGAACAATAACAGAAAAGCAGTTGTCAAGGGTGGCTCTCTCAAAAATGGCTTAGTTGATATTAGCTGAAAATGAGCAGAATGACACTAACTACTAATTGATTACAGTAATTACGAAGTCTTTGGCTAGTTTGTATTGGCAAACTCTATGTACTCCTGGAATAAATGTGAACTTGCAGAATGCAAGGAAAAGGTCACTCTCATTTGCATGATAGGCTTCATTAGAATATGCTAAGGACAAGACCTAGTGTTTTATGACTTCAGGTGATGAATAGCTACCATATTACTCTGCTAGATGAAAGCATGTTTCAGTCACCTTAATTTACATGTTTTCTTTCTTTCTTTCTTTTTTTTAAGTTCCAAGGAAAATCTTTTAGGTTATGGTAATAAGGAGCTTAGTATTGTGTTTCTCACTGAATTGTGTGTGCATTTTCTGAAATACCAAAATCTTTTAGTTAGAATTATTTTAAAGAATATTTCTCAATACAGGATTAGAATAATTATAAAGTGGTTTTTACATTAGATCTTCTAGTGTTATAACTTTTGTCACTTATAAAAGAAAATGGTTTTTTAATGGTTGTTTAAATAAAATATAAGTTAACTCATTGGAGCTTTTATTTTGGATTTTAGCTTACAGTCTTTAGTATGCTGTAGACTTATTGCCTAATGGGCTTTATTGAATCCTAGAATACATTGATTTTCACTTTAAAATAATGCAATTTCATCACTTCATTAATTTTTTCCACTTAACATTTATGCTTAATTAGTACTATTTTTGTACCAAGGTTTTTTTTTACATGTAAAGAGTAGGTTACAGCTGTTACATAATGCCTATTTTTGCTGAAAACGTGCACACAAAGGATTCGTTGGTTGTTTTTATGGCATTCAGTGCAAAAGTTGTAGGGGTTATATAGAAATAAAAACAAGAACAATTCTGTGCAACCTAAGTACATATTAAGTCTAAAATTATGTTTCCCGTTACGTAAATGTTCTCATGTAAAGTCTTTGATCATATAGTGATGGCTCCTATTAGCTGTCATTTTCCTTATATTCTCATTATGAGAGAAAAGTAGCCTTGGCTCCTAAAAGTATCTTTATGAGAAGTATCAGCTCTTAATTAGCAGCAACTATAATCTGTTGGAACACAGGGTTAA